ATCCGAGCTCCCCAGTATCTATTTAACTTTACTTTACACTTCAGGGCATAACTGGTCTAACATTATTTTCTCCAGGTTACGTTACAGTTCTTTGCGCAAGCTCTTAATATAAATGATAACTAGTAGATTCTTTTTATGTGATTGGGTATCTCTTCCCCTCGAAGAGCTTAAGCAGGCTCCCGAATCCCGCCTCGTCGAAAAGATCGGCAAGACGATAGATAATGAGATGCGACTTCAGTAAACATTTGGAAGAGGTTACTCATTCTTCTGGCTTGGTCATTACTGTCACATACTGACGGTCATTAACAGGATATGATGTTATATGCTTTTCTGACAAATACACGCTTATATTTTTGCTCCCTTAGCACGGGCTCGAAGCTCCGAAACATATACTACATGGTTACTCAACGCGAGGATGTTACCTTCTTCATCGTAGATCTGGATGTTGACGTCGTACCGGCCATTGGCAACTAAATGCGAGTTTGACCGAATCATAACCCACTGTGTAGATGGGTCTGGACGCTTTTTGAATTCCACTGTCATACACAGCGTGGATAATGCATACTTGAAATAGAATCCTGCTTGGTGCGTTGCAGCAGGTTGCAACGGCTATCTCAACCGTCAGATACTGCCAGTTATATACTTTCGATATGGAGGGTGCGTAACCGCTTACCATGTCTGACAACAAAGCCAGATGAAGAAGGTCGGAGATGTTAGAGCCATCCCGGAATGACACCCACACCTCACGGTAATGACCCCCGACCCGATGCCCCCAAAGGCCATTGGCTGCTTTCGGTGAAACCCAGTTCAGTTTACTCGTCACCGGAGTTGAGTCGACAACAGGGTCATCAATCTTGACACACTCGGTGTGTCGGTTCGGAAGTGGGACAACGAAAGCCGGCTTACTAGGTTGCGTAAGGCCTTTCTCTTTCGAGATGTTGGCGCACGTAACGATACCCACAGCAGCAGGAATACTTGGATTTCCGGAGGCTGCAGTTCTTGCTACTTCTACCCTTACCACGCACTGCCGGGAGGAGACCCGGAGGTGTTTGCAGGTGACCACCACCTGTCCAGGCGGGACCATGTGCAGAAACTGCACGAAGACATGGATAGGGTCGGGGAACCGTTCTTCACCAAATTCAAGGGCGTTCAACTTTTGTGCGGCGGAAAGCATCAATGCATTAAGGTAGCCACCCAGTACAGAGCTGCTCTAGTCAGTCTTGTTACTCGACTGGTTAGCTTGCTTCCACGTTGTCGGACATACTGTTGTGTACACCATTCTGGGGAGATATTTGCCACGAATTGATCCCGGGTACCTTTCTCGAGTGCTATAGATGACACCGCCTGCAACAGGGGGGAGGCGGATATGGGATGAGACGCCATTTCCGATCGGTTTAAATAGATCAGACGGGGTATTCAGGGAGAGTCCAATTCAATACGGTGTCTTGAAAGTGTCCACGCCTTCAGATCAGGGACAAGCCCGCTGGGATTCTAGCTGCATATGTAGTGTCGCAATCATTAAACGATTTAGTGACACAGAAAACAGCCGAGGCGTGGGCTTTCTGTGCTTTTGGCCAAATTGCAGCGATCAGCAGCAATGAGCACTACTAAGAGAAACCATTGACCCGTGGACAGTTGGTAGCAAATCACCCTAATTGAGACGAGGCGAGTAGCGTTGTCGACGGCGAGACATCGATCCTCTCGTACTCTAGTTTGGTAGGGTTGATCCTTATATTGCCGAACGCGGCGCGATAAAGAATGTGACCCCTAACTAACCCAGGAGTAACTATACCTCATCTATTAATAATTTCCGAGTATCCCGAATGGTAAACGATAGGGATGTGAAAAGTACTGGTCAGATGGAGATACATATTTTATTGAGCACAGCCGAGGTAGTGTACAAGTCAGCCCCTGAACGAATGGAGAATCAATGATGCAACGAGTCAAGTCGCCCCCCCCCGCCTCATAGTTCGGCGGAGACACGGATTCCCAATCGGGAATGAAAGCGGAGGACACGCAGAATTTCATGTAACTTTTCAAATTGGGATCCTTTGACGAGAAGAGGTTCGTCAAATCATTGGGATCGTGCCCAAGGTCAGATGTCGAAGCAGACACGGAACCCAAAAGTACGGTACCATGTCTCGGTAATTAATCTCTTGCCCAACCCTGATCGGGTAATATTGGTATGTATGGAATGTTATTTCTAGCCCGCGGCGGTGAACAAAAGAACAGGAAACCCGCAGTCCGCCAGTCCACAAGTCTCGGTTGGAGAGAAAGTCATACAACTAATAACAACTAAAATAATTTATCCCCGTAGATCAGGTTCGATCGGCTCTATTAGGCAGACTTACATTCCCACCCAGCTCCAAGATCAGGAGAAAAATAGGAGGCTGAGGATCCCTCCATACTAATTCGCTGCCCAACGATCACGTGCCGGGACACGGACGCGGCGCGAACTTTTCGGGGGGCGAAGATTGATTAAGTTTCTTCCTCTCCGATCCTCCCGCAATGTCTTCCTCTCCGATCCCACGATCTCAAGAGGAGGAGGACCGTGAAGGGTTTTCGCAAAAGAAGTCATGGCCTTGGTACAGTCCTTAGAAGAGACGGCTTCGTCAGAATCGATTTGGAGACACCTTCGTGACCATCATGGAATCACCAAGACAGATTCACATCGTCGGTTGTTAGCAGACCCATCGTTCAACGTCCCTGCGAGAATTACCGATCATCCTTCAACCCCAACGGAATCAAAGCTGGCCTCCGGTCTACTCTACAACGATGTAGCTGTTGAACACTCCGGTCGGGGGATTCAACTCACTGTTAACGAGCAACAATGCCTGATCAGTTTATGTAGAAATATGATGGACCATTACGAACTGGGACACTACCCCAAAAGTTTCTGGATTCGAATCTCCGCGGCTCTACAGGAGCAAACTGGCCGCCGATATTCGTGGCAGTCATGTCGACGACGCATTATCGGCTATATCACGAAACGCAAAGCATACTGGGCCGCTTACAAATACAATAATATTCCGGAGTGTGACATGCACAGCGAAGTCGCAGACGACGTTGATTCCTGGATGGGTTCGTGCGATAGAAAGTTGGGACGGCCTGTGCGCCATGAAGTCGCCCTGAAAGCGGCTGAGAAACCCGAAGAAGCCCCGCCACTTCGGGTATCAGTTCAGCAACTGATAAAGTACACTCGGGTTTCAAATTGGGTTGAAAGTCTTCCGCCACCTGCAGAGATGGATCCTTTACCAACGAAATTCGGCATTCCTTCATTGAGCTGGTGCCCTCCTTTCTCCAGTCACCAGTCAATGTCCCATTCCCAGTCTCCGAACCAATCGCCGGTGCTCAACGAGATCTCTATGTACCGTCAGCGGGCAGGCGCTCCTCGTGGGATTCATCTTGCACCGTCTAACACACCCTCCTACAGAGGCCAACCTACGGACCAACAGGACAACTCCGGGAAACGGGACAGTGGACTCATCACCGAGAGACCAAAATATTCACCATTAACCAGCGGCGCGGTTCAAAACCAGGCTTCTCCAGACGCTGTCCCCGAGACATCTCACAATACTCAGGCCAGCAACAAACGACCGCGTGACGATGATGACAACGATGACGCAGCCCATGACCGTCCCGCTCGTCGTCTCCGCCAAGACGAGCCCAGCCATCCGTCGGGCACCATAACTCTGAATCAGGAATCCGCGGTGAACGGCACGAAAGCCATGGACAGCTCTGTCGAGAACACGTTTGGCAAACTTTGGGAGCGAGTTGCACCACTCTTTAAGGACCCCGTTCTTGCCCAGGGTCCCGCGGCAATGAAATCCGAATCTATCATGCGCGATCTATTCAGCGAAATTGGAACGGCTCTAACTAAGGCCTTTACGAGAATGAGAGAAGACAATGACGAACCTGAGAAGATCTGAAACGCATATGGAACAATTTTTTCTTCTTATCTCTTTCCTTTTGTTACGGCGCACTCAGCGGTATAGTTCTCATCTTTGCTTTTTTTTACGACACCGCCCTTCTTTCACTTTTCTCTTTCATTTTTACAACAAGTTTGGGCGGCATTGCATGCATTGATATACCTCTATTTTTTGTTCTGCCTTTCCTCGCTATCTCATCATCCCTACCCATGGTAGCGTTGTCATTGCGCATCAGATTGCATTAGACTGCCAGAGATACCCCTTGCATATAAATTGGCACACTTGGCATCGCATATTTTGTCTTCTGTTTTCATGTTACAAAGTTTTGAATTACCTGCACAAAGCAAACTTCGTTATGCATCTCCATCCAGCAGATAGAGAGTTTTGTTATTCATTGACAATACTAGTCAACTACTACTCGACATATCAAACGACCGACCACAAAACCACCATGAAATGAAGAATACGTATATAAATCTCAGCCCAATATAGCCCCATACCGCTCTTCCACAATGCATGCACATTACCCGACTGCATATCCCTTGCGCCAAAACGTCATCCACCTAACTTGCCCTAACCGTTTAATCCTTCGGCGTAAGGCCACTACCACATGCAATTGCTCACCCCTTGCGTCCCTAGTTTAGAAGACTACCCAAATTCGACTGCCACGCTTTCGGTTCGCCTTCTCCGGGATGTCGTCAGCTCGAGTTCAACAATGCTTTGCTTTGCTTTGTGTAGTGTGGCTTTGTATTTTGGACTGCGGTAGACTCGGAAGGTTTATTTTCTTGATGGGGTTGAAATTGGCCGAAGCTAGCTTTCATGGCTGGGGTTGTAGTTGGTGGAAATTGTCATTGAGCCCGTACAAGATTAACATTAAGGGTTCAACCATCCAGACTAAGCGCCGTGCTTGATGAGCAGCTTCGCCAGGATAGTGCACTGTTCCTTGTATTAGCGATATCTTTAGTCTTATTGAACGATCGATAGGGTGTCAAACCCTGACTTCATAACACTGGAGATTAAGGTAGGCTAGTTAGTTTTACTGATTATTTCCAAGCCTTGTGATATGGAATGGCGCGTTTCGTGTGATTTGTGAAAGGAAGGGCCACTCAGGGCTCAAAGAAAACTATACAGTGGGGATGGGAAACTGAATCCAGTAATTGTGCCTTTCCATTGTAGCAGTACATAAATTCGTCCACAGGGAGTCGCTTCTATATGCAAACAGCAAGAACGTCTATATACCTATGTTTCCTTATAACAAAGTTCAAGCCATGCAACCGCTCGGAGAATGCCACCAACGCCGGACTGTAATGAGATAGAGTAGATTATACAGGGGACCTGAATGCCTAATGACACAAGGTAATCCACTGGTTAACGATCTCTTCCATATCGTGAGCAATGCCCCACTGAGATATGAGACAGCGGAACAGCTTCTGCATTGAATTCATCTCATAAAGCAAGTTCCTCACAGCTCCTAGTCCAGGGGGCGAATCTGTTTGGCCTTCTTCAACAAACCGCCTTGTTTCGGAGCCAGTAGATGCCCGACTATTGTCACATCCCAAGTTCAAATCGGCGTGTGAAAGAAGTGCGTCCTGCCAAGCAATGGTCCGTGGAAGGTGGATTGTTGCGACTCCCGCGAGCGAGAACACGACATAGATTGTCACTGCGGCGAAGAGTGAGCTTGGCATATGAATTACATGAGCTCGGCCTCGTGGAAGTTGTTCGATGATATCCTGAATAGCAATAGCATGCAGCAAAGCACGGCGTGCATCAGGAGTGCAGACCCACTTCGCCATATCGAACCCGGGCTTAACTGTTCGAGAGCCCCCAGACACATGTTGCGCAATGTCGTAGCAGGAGCAGACATGCCTACAAAGAACGGTCGAGTTAATCATAGTATCGAGGCATATAGTATGCCAACGGAGAAGGACTTCGAGTCGTTCTTCGGCAGAAAGGTGAATGCTCATGGAGACTGTCTCGTGCACTTGAGCCAGGGCTCTTCTCACATCTGAACGCCCTGGAACACCCACAGCGACAAGGTCACTCTCGTCCGAGTCTGACACCAGAGACTGTAGGCCTTCAAGGATGACCCGAAGGGAGAAGGCAGAAAGCTGATAATCTAGAGGCCGAAAGCTACTAACTGGAGGGAAAAGAGAGCGGAAGACCAACCGAAAAGATGGTTGATCGGGCCGTTGAGAGCGCATATGTGCTAGCCATTCATCCACGTTACTAGCATCAAATGCAGCTTCACTGCTAGGAAGAACAAGAGGATTAGCGACATGGCGGGTCGATGTACCATCACCAGACATCTGTGCAACGAGACCGTCAAGGACATGATACGCAAGCAACGCACGCTGTTGAATCTCTCGTGCAGCCCATGTTCGCCATTGACGCTCTTTCTCGTCCATTGACGCGCTGGGGAATGGCAAACTATCCATGGAAAAAGGTTCGCTATCTAGCATTCCGCAATGCCGGGCCCAAAAGAATCCAAGTGGACGGAAGACTTGACTCGTGGTGCGAATAAGTCTATTCTGTAGTAGTAAAGGTAAGTTCAAGTACAAAGCAAAGCCTGTAATGGTGAAAGCGAACCTTCGATAATGCACCGTATATCTGGCCTAGAAGGGCAGTGATAAGAAGCTGGACGCCTTTGCATGCATCGTAAGGGCCACGATGCGTGATTAACGATTGCCACTACATAGGAATAAGTATCACCTAGATTTCTAAGGAAGAATGGATACATACCGAAGTAGCAACGGCAGTATGTGCCAGCCGCCATAACGCTTCCCCCTGCAATATCGTTAACAATCTTGTGGCTTCTTCTACGACCGGAACGGCTTACTTTTGCAACTGAATCTTTGGGACCCAGATACAGGGATCCCAAAGCCATAGCATTTAGAAGAAGTGGATGAGTGCACTCCCGAAAAACGAATGTAGCCCGATGTAAGATGGGGAATGTTGGAATGAACCGCACAAAGAACATATGCAGGCATTCGTCCAGGAACACAGATGTGATTGACGTTGCTTTGATCGCCGCCGTCACACTAGAGGACTGGGGACAAAATGTTAGCATTTCTTCGGAGGCATAGCAGCGCTCGGAAGATCTTACAGAGCTTGCCACCATTTCTGTGACATCTCGTACAGCCTGATGACTACCACCCGAAGGGATCGTGCCTATTGAAGAGCTACGATCGTCGAACGAATTGGGGGACCCAAAGCTCATTGAGTTCACATCTTGGACTACTGGTGGGAAGGGTAGTGCTCCCAAAGGCATTTGCCATTGATCTGTTGTGTCTGATGACATGATACTTTGGAACAGGCTCTCCGAATCGGGCCATATCAGCGTAAAATCAAGATCGGATGCTGCATGTTGCAAGCCAGGGTTTTGCTCGGGTTGTGAAGTATCCCATGTCTGATTTGGTGCAGGCACTGTTACTGCGGCATCTACAGGGGCTCTCGTGGTGTCCCATGGCGGGAGAGCCTCGAGAGAAGCAGGTTGGGGGATCTCGTGTACATGCTGCTCTTGAGGAAGCTTAGCGTTGGCTGCAGCCCTAATGTGCAATTTCTCATGGCGCGCAAGAGCGTCTTGGCGGGCGAAAGGTCGACGACATTCTTTGCACACGAATGGCTTGGCTCCCGTGTCTTTGGCATTGATACCTTGGTCAGCTTCCCAATCGTATAGCTTTAGGGGTTAGGGCAGATGGCGATCGGACATCCCGCCCAAGTAGCACGGCACAAATCACGGCATAATGGGCTGTATCTTACGGCAACGTTCATGTCTCTAAGTGCCGACATTAGCGAAGTCTCCACCGAAAGGGAATGAGATACGGATCAGATACCCTTAGATGCTCAGCCTTCGAGAAGGCCTTCTGGCAGACTCGACACACCAATGCTTTCATGGTTAACGTAGTGCTTTGGTGGTTTGATAAGAAGCAACGACCGCAAGTTAGCTCGAATGAATCAATATCATTGCGATCTCCCTCTTGAGTTTATGCATAAGGGTAGCGAGTTCGGGAACTGGACTTGTCATTGACGAGTGGGCCGTGGGGAGTATGTAAGGAACCTTTTCGAGAGCGAATTGTGGGGCAGTGGCAATGGGACGGTTGCTTGGCACGTGAGGATAGCCTTCTCAATCCGGTTTAGTCGTTGAAGAACCATTCCAGACTGGGGGCAAATTGGCCAATCTCGAGACTCCCATTGCATGGCCAACGCCTCCACTCCAAAATACTTATCCATCTCCGAGTATGCCGTGGCCCGTACACTGTAACCGTAACGAGCCGGAGAGTTTTGATTTGTATGGGACCGGGTCACCGCGTGTCTCCTGGGGTTTCGGGATCTTTAATCGGCTATCTCATTAACGCCCCCAGGTGAGCTGCGAATTTGGTTCATCCAATGGACTAACGCTGGATTATCCGAACATGACAAAATAGACTGACTATTGTCGCCCCTATGAGTCGATAGTATTATGAAGACATACTCCGCATAATCTCCACTACGAGGATGGATTGGTCAATCTCTGGCCTTACCCCGGGCGAGTGCCCACCCCAATGCAGAAATGATAGGCCAGATACCCCGGCCGCGTGAGTTTGCGTGGGACTGTCCAATCCCTTACTCTTCGGTTAGAGTCTGCTGCCTGTAGACATATGTGAATAACGGGTTATCCGCATCCTCGTGGTCTATTTTGGAAACCCTCTCCCTCTGCTACACCCATTCTCACCCATTATAACCCCCCTAAGGGAGCCTTAGTTACAGGAAGCTTGAGCCCTTTACTCAGAATACACAAAGATTGAACTCCAACCCTGGCTGTGCCCCTATCCAGGAGCTTGTCCAACATGACTGCGTCAATGGAGATGCAGAGGCCTCGCCAAAATGACGACGTCCAAGATGCCCCTCAGCCGGGAAAGGTGGACGTGGACTTTGTAGAGAGCACGGCAGGAGCCATACCTACAAGTTATTCCGATATCGTGGAATCTCGCATTTCAAAGGCACACAGAGACTACCTGATGGAGCGTCATGGCACACTAGAACTCGATCCCATCCCTAGCATGGATCCAGCGGACCCGTACAACTGGCCGTCCTGGAAGGTTAGTACTCACTTTTGCCGCAAATTATGCTTTTTAGCAACGAGATATTGCATGAACTTTTCTCGACAGTGACTGACTAGCTTTGAATCTATGCAGAAACTGGCCAATTTGGTTTTGGTAGCCATTCACGCATGTATGGGTACCTTTGCTGCTGCTGGTATCATTCCTGCTTATGCAACGTAAGAGGACATCTTAAATCAGCCATATACCGTTCAAGTTTTCACTAACAAGTGGTGAACAGGATCGCGGAGGAGTACAATGTTACGATCCAGAGAGCGAGTTATCTGACATCGCTCCAGATCGCCATCTTGGGCGGGGCCCCGCTGTTCTGGAAGCCCATGTCTAATCGCTATGGACGTCGTCCGGTCTTCCTTATCTCCCTGATGTGCAGTCTAGTATGTAATGTGGGGTGTGCAAAAAGCACAGACTATGCATCAACTGCCGCCTGTAGAGCTTTGCAAGCATTTTTCATCTCTCCAGCGTCTGGTAAGACAGATTTCTGATCAGATCTCGGAAGCATTTGAGCTGACAAGCATATCAAGCTATTGGAAGCGCTGTTGTGATGGAGACCTATTTTAAGAAAGACCGTGCCAGGTACATGGGCGTATGGACCCTGTTGGTTACCTTGGGAATTCCCCTCGGTCCATTTATCTTTGGTTTCGTCGCATATCGGGCAGGCTACGTATGGATCTACTGGGTCCTGGCAATAGTTCGTCTACCACCCTGATACACACTCGTGCCGATGGCCATTTGCTAACAAGTTCTCGTCGATCAGGTCAACGGCGTTCAGTTCGTCTTATATCTCTTTCTGGGCCCAGAAACTCGGTATGTTGGCAGCAATGTCGACCCCAACCAAGCCGCATGGAAGAGAGAGTATCTTTCACTCCGTCGAATTGACCCGACTCCCTTCTCGTGGTGGGAGTTCGTTAAGCCTCTTACTATGGTTATGTATCCCTCTGTCATGATCCCAGCCGCGGCGTACGCAATGGTCTTCTTGTTGAGCAACGTGTTGGCCACGGTTGAAGTGCCGGAACTGCTCCAGGAAAAGTTCGAGCTGAACACCGAGCAACTCGGTATGCAGTTCCTGGGTCCCATTATCGGCTCCGTCATTGGCGAGCAATTAGGAGGCACCCTATCAGACGTCTGGATGAACACACGGGCAAAGAAGATCCAGCGGAAGCCCGAGCCAGAGCACCGCCTATGGCTCAGCTACATCGGCTTTATCTGTTCCATTGTGGGTCTGATCGTCTTCCTGGTGTGCACTCAGGAATCTGCATCAGGCCACTGGAATGTAGCACCTATCATTGGTATCGCTATTGGAGCCGGCGGTAACCAGATTGTAACCACCGTCCTTGTCACGTACGCCGTGGACTGCTATCCCACCGAAGCTGCCAGTGTTGGAGTGTGTATCACGTTCGTTCGACAGATCTGGGGTTTCTTGGGGCCGTTTTGGTAAGTCGAGAAAGGGTCACGTCAAGCTTTAGGAGTACGATGGCTAACGAAGCTCAGGTTTCCGCCTATGTTTGAGACAGTCGGTGTGGCTGCGAGTGCGGGTGTTGGGTGCGCTCTCATCGTGGGTGTCAGTGTTATTCCGATTCTCTGCCTTCACTTCATGGGTCGGAGGTGGCGTCCAGATATCCATGCATGAATCTAAGGATAGCTTTTTTTCCCTCAATAGATGATTCGGTCAACCGGGTAGAATGGTGTATTAGAATATAGAATAGGACTCCTGGGATGTGAAATAGGGTGGAACAAGGCTGTATATATGGGTTAGCAGTAGAATAGAATAGAATAACATTGGCGACATTCGGAATATGAACAAACTGGAGTCAGGAACATGATAAACAAAAAAAAAAAGTTCAAAGTCAAGATACACAAAAGGGATAAACGAAAAGCCCCAGCTTGGACTGATTTCTTTATATACTTCTTAGCAAAATCGATAGCTATTAAAGATTTTTCGCTGCCCGAGTCATCGAGCCGATATCATACCACGCGTTTTAGTCTCCTAATGGTCCCGTGGCCGGTCGGCTGCCCGAAGCGACAATAATAGTCGGGAGCTTCATCGGAACAGTAACTCGGCATCGTACCTTCATATTATTTGTCGCGATTCTTATCTTCATAATCGTATCTAATATTTCTATGACCTCAATACCATAACTAACGTGCCTACAATAAAGCAAAAAACATGTATAGAGCTTCTATTTACCGCAAATGCTGTCGAATAAGGCAATGAGTGTACATAGTACCTACTACCAAGTAGATGTGACTGACCCCTGATTCGCGCATTCGAAGCGGAGATGATTTACTCCGCCTAGGATAAAGTCATATCCCACACTTCTTGCATGCCTGCAAAAAGTAAGAAGTGGGACCTATCAGAAACGGTTAACATTTATTACTAATCATGTATGTGGGAACTTGCATGTGGGGAGTTTTCTTGTTCGATGTTCTCAAGCTTCGTAAATGCTTATCCTATGCTTATCATTGAGGCTAAAGTATGATCTGTAGAGCATACACTGCACAGTCTTGCGAGGCAAATTCAGATTAAATTACATTGATTCTTCCTAAGCTTTACAGACTGCTAGAACACCATAGACTTTTTCAGTAATAGTTTCCGGGACTACCAGCCATATTCCCCAACCCTGCGCCAAGGCGCAAAACTGCAGCCTGCAGGTAAAAAGATGTAAATTGTCAGCGCCAGCTAGCCAACTTCCCTTTCATCCAGATTCCAATGATGGCCATGATTCTAGTCATGGTTAGCAGATGCCAGATGAAGCTCAAGGTAATTGAATAAGGGTGGTGAACCTTTATCCGCCAAAGACGTGTGGACCACTTGGTGTCGATCTGACGTCGTCCTCATACAGGGCTTGTGCTTGTCTTTCGTTCCTATCAGGTCGACATGGACCTCAAATTCTTATTCGTGCAGCTCGCGTCGATCATGTCTTCTGTTTATTAGCTACTACCGATGTCTAGATGCGTCGCCAGCAACCTGCCTTGTTGATCGTCGCAACGAGATACACTAGAAAATAGTAACCACGCGCACATCAGACACAACCGATTCAACGGTGCGATTGCCATCTTGCATCATCTGCGCCACGGCTGCAGGATCTTGGAGGCACTTGAAGTCTTTTCTTCTGAACAACCCCGACGAAGCCTCATTATCGAGCATGTCTTCTTCATATGCGACCCATTCCGCAGCAGACTCAAGACAGATACGGTGGATGGTGTCCCCGTTGAACCAACGGAACAAAGTGTAAACAAGTGGAACGTTGTTCAACCACGCGATATTGATTGTGCCATACCTCTCCCGGTATTCAAGAGGCAACTCTGCGCCCAGCATAGCCAACTGACCATGTGGGCAGATTCGAACAGAGTCGATCATAATGACGGTATCTTCCAACGATTTGACCCTTGACAGGTAGGACAGCGCAACTTTTCTCACAGTCTCCGGCCAACCAAAGGCAGCAGCCAGCCGCACCCAGTCCCTCAGAGCATGGAAATAGGTCTCGTCGCACTCGCATGGTGTATGGCCCTCGCAGAAGACCGTCTTGATCGGGAATGGGAAGCCAGACATCGTGTAGTATCAACAGTACAGACTAGTTGAAGGATATTCACAAAGGAGTCACGTAGTTATGCAATGTAGTGAAACAAGAGAGACTCGCGATCTGTATTGCATAAGATAAGAGGAAGGAATAATTGTTGTGTTGTTCGCAACATTGCTTATTCATTGCACCCAGTTTCATATTCACTTGTTGATCTCTTTTCGGATGAAAGGTGCAAGTGAATATGTCTTGTACTGTTACGAGCCAGGGCTTTACCAATGACACACTTTTTAGGCTGTTTTTCTTCTGTCATCTTTCAGTTATTTATAAATAGACATTGGACTCAGTCGCTTGCACAGCAATACTTTATAGGGGAATTATTTTCCCTCTCAAGAGCCACATAAAGTAATACCAAGCTTTATTACCTGTTGCAGATAAGTACATTTTTCTTCAGGTTACACATGCATCAAATACCGGTTTTTGCAAAAGCGCAAAGTCACATACTCTGACAAACTTCAGAGCTTTGGCAAGAATATACCTATCCAAGAACCAGAAGAGCTTTACATGGACCAAGCCGCTGAATTTTGCCAATAATTCCAAAGCTATGGCCGTGAAGACCAGAGTATATACAGAGCAATTTTATGCATATCTATTTCCTAAGCACCCACAATGCGCCCTAGTGAGTCTCAACTACAGCTTCATTTCTGGTTTTCAATCTTCGTCACCAGAGTTCCGACGTGAGGCAGCAATTCAACGGCGAACTCATCTCCATCCTTCAAGAACTCCTTCGGGTTCTTTGCAGCACCCACGCCAGGGGGAGTTCCAGTCAAGATAATAGTTCCTGCTGGCAGAGTTGTTCCCTGAGACAGAAAGCTGACGAGCTTGGGCACGCTGAAGATCAAGTCCCTATTCAAGATCTGTTAGCCTTTAAGCAAGCCCATGGTTGGTTACCGGAGCATTTCATACGTTAGAGGACAATCCTGCAGCACCTTGCCGTTCTTCAGGCCGCGGATCTGGAATTTGCTGGCATCTGGGAACAATGCCGCAGAAACGAGGGCCGGACCTAATGAGATAACCCACGTCAGTCAGTGGATTACAAAATAGAAAAGGATTTACATGAGGGGCACTGACCAATTGGGCACGAGGTGTCGAATCCCTTAGAGAAACACCATTGACTCTGGTTCATCTGTGACGTGCGGCTTGAAACATCGTTCGCTGCCGTGTATCCAAGGACATAATCCAGGGCGTCAGCTTCGCTAACATCCTTCGCATCGCGACCAATAACAATAACCATTTCAGACTCATAGTCGCCCGTGTTGTCAACTTGCGTGATTTTGGGAAGAACGGTTGGTGCAGGCCAAGGATCCGAGAGAGCTGCCGATGGCTTAATGAACAGTGTGGGAACATCTGGGATAGAAAGCTTCATCTCGGCGGCATGAGAGGTATACTACCGGAACAATCAGTCAATTGTGACTCTGAGGAAGGGGCGTTTGGTAATGTCGCAAGCGAGAACTCACGTTCAGCCCAATACATCTAATCGACCCGACCTCATTCTGCGCCAAAGGGGAGAGGATCCGGCTGATGATCTCAGTGGACTCTGTCTTCTGGCCTGGATTAAGGACGGATGCTCCGGTGAATGGTCGCACTGAGACTTCCTTTCCCTGGTAAAGAGCCAATCCGACGTCAAGTTGCGCATCTACCGGCTCGCCGATCAGAACCTTAGACGGGTTCGACTTAGGGACAAAGCGCACAAGGCCTATTGCGTGTTAGAAGGGATCATGATAGCTGTTGTATGTTGGGGGTGATTCATCACTTACGCGAAAAGGTCGATGCGATTTTTGACATGGTTCTAGTTATTGCCGTTGGGTGATGGGTTCAATCGGGTCAGAAATGTGATTAACGTGTTTATGTAGGAATTGGAACTTTCCAAAGATTTTCATGAGGGAGATGCTCGCGATCACGGACTATTTCTACCCCGATATCGATGCGCGTTTGCGACCGATTGTGACGTTTAGCGGGGTTAAGTGGGGAGGACAAGAATAAACCGACGGGCCTACCGTCCCCAGTCTCTCTCTCAAAGTCTATGAGAAGGCCACCGATGTACGGAGTATCCAGGCTTCTCTAATAGCGAAGTACCTGATTCGGCAGAGATTCATTTGATCGGATGAAGTCCGGGGGCGAACACCCACGACTTCCCCACGATTCGATTGTGGGGAAGTTCCCAGCGCCGGATGTCGGCCGGCTGCTCGAAGAACTTCTTCATTTAAAAAGCAGAGATTCCACCAGTGAAAGTGACTGAGTGATTAGAGAAAATCAATATTATTTTTACGAAGTCTATCACAATGTCTGCCCCTAAAGGACCTTTCCGCCTTGTCACTGTCAACACTGCTCCCGAGAGAGCCAAGCTACTTATCGGCCGGATGGTCGAGGCTCTCAAGGACCGTTATACCATCATCTACGAAGCTAACTGCGAAAGTGAGTGGCTGTGGTGCCAAATATATATATGTGTGTGTGTGTATGTATGTGACACAGTATTAACAATTTTATAGCAATCGAGGAAGTCGGACCCAAAGTGAAGGAATTTATGCCTGATGTTCTGGTAGGAATCCCTGTCATTTTGAGTCCCTGCGGGACTCTCTCATGCTATGAGATGAGTTAAAGACTGATAGCCCTATAGTTCAGTGCTTCTATGTGGACCGATGAGGAGGCGCAACGAATTCAGTCCATTGCGAGGGATATTAAACCTGACATCAAGACCCACGCCATCCCCGAAGGATTGCAAGTAAAGTACGGTCCTAACGCTATCGTTGAACATCTCCTCGAGAAGGTCCCACTTCTTTTGGATGCTTAAGGTGGGAGTTGGGGTTTGGAGGGGCTATGTTTTGCTGGAGCCAATGATTTCCACTCTGTATATATACTTGCATTGTGACGATGTGATGTGATAAACGCATAAAAAAAATTGTAATCCAACAGTAGATTCCTAGAATACCTATATCATTGCTTGTCCTCATCTATATATGCCCAAAAGCTTCTGTATTGTTCCTCCTTAGATATCGTCAAGATTCCCTTTTGGTGCTCGGAAAGCAAACTCTCGGAAAATATATTTTATGTCATTGACACTCTATTAGCATTTTGCCAATACTACCATTACAGCTTGTATCGACCTACCAAGCTTCCAAAGTTTAATACAATAAAAGGCGCTGTAATATACAAAGAAAATCGTATTGTAGAGTTACGATATCGATAACAAGGACTACGGAGTACGGAGTAGTATGTTCGCCAATGATACACTTCCCCGAAAAGATCGACGGTTGGAATCGGCCTAAACCTGCTTAGTCATCATGCTATCGCGCTCTGTCAGGAACTGCGCGATGGCTTCAAGTCGCAAGCTTCATCCAAGATTAATTACAATTGACTTTATATGATAATGTTGCCATTTCGTGTGAATCTACGGGGTACATCTAGTCTCCGCGCATTTTCAACATCCCGGGTGCTCCGGAATGACCTGTCTTATCAGGTTTTCGGTCCTGAAAGAGATGAAGCAAGTCGGAGTCCAATTGTTTTCCTGCATGGGCTCTTCGGTTCTAAGCAGAACAACAGGAGTATTAGCAAGTATGTTGGGCCAGATTATCTGAAACATTCCTATTGTTATCTACTGGTGACTCCAAGATAGACTAACAGGGATCGTTAGAGCTTTGGCACGTGATTTGAAGCGTGAGGTCTTTATCCTGGTATGTCTTTTTCATCCGGCGATATATTGAAGTGAGAAGGTCCATGTACTTATGCCAATGGCATTATTAGGATCTCAGGAATCATGGCCAGTCATTCCACTCCCAAGAGCACACGTACAATGCGATGGCAGAGGATGTAGTCAACTTCATCCATCAGCAGAAGCTGAACAAGTGTGTCATGATAGGTCATTCCATGTATGAATATCGCCTGCCCTTTTACAGCAATTCGAGCATGATTCGAGTGACTATTCTAACTAAGACAAGGGGCGCAAAAACCGCGATGACGGTCGCACTCGACTCTCCTAGTTTGATCTCGGCGCTTATCCCCGTCGACAACGCCCCAGTCAATGCTCCGCTGAAGAGCGACTTTGGCAAATACGTCCGGGGCATGCAACAGATCGAAGCCCAGAATGTAGCAAAGCTGTCTGACGCAGATAAGATTCTGAAAGATTATGAGGAAGTAAGTAGTCCTGTTAAAAATACTGGGGTTATGTTAACCGCAATCTTCCACACATTCTTAGTCGCTTCCTATCCGCCAATTCCTGTTGACCAACCTAGTTCGTGGGGAGGATGGAGCTATGAAGTTCCGTGTCCCTGTTTCAATCTTGGGAGATGCCTTGAGTGAGATGGCTAATTTCCCTTATGCCGGGTCTGGCTCCGCCACGTATGACGGTCCGACGCTGTTTGTTAGGGGCACAAAGAGCAGATACGTCAGTGACGATACAATCCCTGCGATTAAGAAATTCTTTCCAAAAGCCCAGATAGCCGATGTCGAAGCTGGCCACTGGCTCATATCGGAAAATCCTGAAGCTTTTAGACAAAGTGAGTACTGATTTGGAGACCAGTTTTTATGTATGGCAGTTTGACTGACGAGAATTACTTCTTCAGAGGTTGTTACATTTTTGCAAGAGACACCTTGAAACTATGTATTAATAGAATTAAGCATGGCCCTCCGGATATGTACGGACTCCGTACCCTTTTGGAGCCGAAGAATGAGAATTTATCAATAGCCCATCCAACTGATGAATTAAACGAAACAAAGAAGGTCGACCTCAGGAACAAGGTATCCAGCCGTATTCACAATACATTGAATTCGATCTCGACACCATCTGTCATCAAGTGCCGGTGCCCTCGCGCGCCTCGCGTCTCGTCAAATAAGTATTGAAAACCTTGGCACAACGATCAGTGCCAATAGACATTGGTGAGCGTGGGGCTTTTACACCTATGACAGACATGCTATTGTTGCGCCTTCAACTCCGTAGTATTTCCCTCCGCAACCATACCTGACACCAACGGGGTTATAAGACAAACAACCTTCTAACCAATGAGTCGACGACCATAAGTTGTGTGCCTACTTAGTCGAGGGGTATCGGTTCAGTGGATACCATTTTGCGCTTTTTCTTCTTCTTTGGTCGCTTATTCTCTGTGGGCTCCCCCTGTTCAAACGGAGATGCTCCGGACGAAAGCGATCTGGGAGATTCTTGTCGAGCTGTTATGGGAGTTTTTTCATCCTCAGACAAACCAGAAGGACGTGGTCTTTTCTTCTTCTTTTTTCTTTCCCTCAATGCGAGCGTAGGGTTGGTTTCAGCCACGTTCAGAATCCTGGCCGCCTCTTCTGGATCAGCGGGACTATCATCTATAGGGTTTGGAGCCTGATCCTCGACGACGATTGGGGACACTGCTCGAGGATGGAACTCCTTTGCTTCCACAGCTTTCTTAAGTTCACCCAACTGTTCATGCAATTCTTTATGTCGAAGCTTTTCAGACCGCTCAAGTTCACTAATACGGTCAAGTAGTGACGAAATGTTAGTATCATGCGCACTGTGCGCTTTCGTGATATCGTCGAGTTGATCAATAAATGCTTGATGTCGATCTGATGTGGCTTTTTTGAGTTCATGAAGGTCATCTTGCAATGACTTAATATCACTAGCATGCGTTTCAACTTTTGCAAGACTGCTAGTATTGACAGACCTCACTTCTCCGACATCATTGGCCAGCTTCTCCAGACCGCTAGTATTGGCAGACCGCACTACTTCAACATCATTGGCCAACTTCTCCAGATTGCTAGCCACTTGGCTCAGACGGCTGTCGAACTTGTTGCGCTCGTCACGTAAACCTTCCATGAAACGGTCGTCAGATTGTTTCCGTGACCTGAATTGGGAGTCATATTTGGATATGGTCCCCTCAAAATTTGTAGATAAGGCGTTCAATTCAGCTCGCAATTTGTAGATGTCCTCGTGGCTCGGTGGTGGATCTTGCCTTCTTTGCTGCTCGTGCCGCTCCCAAAGAGGTGCAAGTGACTGCGAAAGACTGGAATGGTCATTTCTCAGCTTGTTTAGCTCATCAAGGCGCAAAGCTGCTTCCTGCTGGGTCTGCCTGATAATAGTGTTTTGGCTTTGACACAGGTTATCAACTACCGTTTTTAATCCAGAATATTGCTCCAGTAATTGACTAGCAGAGGGGTACATCTCCTGCAACGCGACAACCATGTTCCTCGCCAACGGCTCTGTAGTGAGAGTGTTGTATCTGGTTTCCAGAGAATGTAAGCCCACTCTAACAGTCTCCACCAACTGCTGTGTATTTTGCAATGACCCCGACAAATTGGCAACTTGTTGTAGGGAAGTGGCTGGATTTGATTCACGCAAGGTCTTCACCTCATCCGATAGCATATTGCAATTGTTCTTCACACTCACTAATTCCTCAGACGCTTGCACTAGTGACTTTTTTAAATCTTCCACTTCCGAAAAGTGCAAATCATCCTTCATCTCTTGCAAACCTTGCAATTGATTAAGTATGTTTTCGAGGCTCTCAACTTTAGTTTGTAGGTAGGATGCAGAAACTTTATCCACGTTTGACTCATTTGTCGTCGTCAATGCTGGAGGTGCCACCTTCGTAGATTCAACAGAGCCAAGACGGGTATCAAGACTATCTAATCTTTGACCCAGCGACTCAATATCGGATATTTTCTGTTGCTGCTCCTTGGTCGTTTGGTCAACTTTACAGATAGCAGCCGAAAATCTTTCCTGGCACGTCCGCAGGGACTCCAATTCTGTACCCAGTAATGTTCTTTGTTTTTGCCATCCATCCACTTCTACTTGAAACTTCGTCGATATGCTTTCTTCTACTTTGGTTGAAACACTTTCCAAGCGCTTCTCGAATTCCAATGAAATTTCTTCAAGGCGAGACGAATGGTCTTTGGTTTGCTTATTCAAGGATGTTCCATGGTTTTCGAGCGATTTCTCTAGCATAGTCATTCTTGCCTGGAGGCTCTTGAGCGTGTCTTCTAAAGAGCGGTTTTGATCTCGAAGGCTAGAGGCCTCGTCTTTCGAACGCTTAGCATCCTGCTTGGTTGTTTCGATCTCTTCTTTCAGTTGATCGTATTTCTCCGCCAGACTAGGCCCTGCGATTAGAGAAGACGTCCAGTTTGCTTTCAATACTTTCTCCAGTTGATCGTAGCGCGACAAGTGCTCCTTCAGCGCGCCATCTATACGAGCCAGATGGCCGCCTTCGTCGTTACATGCTTGCTGAAAGAAAGCAGCAGTAGTAGGGAAACTCGACTGAGCTTTCGCTCTCTTCAGGAGACCTTCAGTGGTGCTTTGCTTCTTCTGTATAGTTTCCTTCTCTGATGTCAGGCTAGCGGTCTTTACGGCGGCTTGTACCAAATCGGAAAGCCGTTGTACAAACTGATCGCCAGGGGCATCAGCCCGAGGTTCATATTGCCTTGAAGCACTGGGAGATGTAAAAAGCTTCCGCGATTGCGTGTCTAGCGAGGTAGCTCCAAAAGGGGGCGGTCTGTTCAAGCGGGGATCGCGCGCATTAGAAGTAAATTTGTGCTCAGAGCTCATCTTGGCGACAAATCCACGGCGATTAAGAAACTATTGCACCGAGTGGATTAAGATGCATCTCAGGATGAGGCGCGTCACAGATAAAGCATATTTAAACTTAAAGTGAAAGCAGATTAGCATTGATGGGTAGCGTATCTACTCCAATCTAGTACCCGTGTCTGTCATAATAAATCAAAGATGGAGATCTCGACGTACTTATCTCACCAAGTCTGGCGGTACCTCATTTACAGAGAGTGAATATTGTTTGAGGTAAAGAAACTCCGATGGAACTCGTTTGCCTAGCAACCAGTGACCGATTAGCTGTTGACGCGAAACCAAAAGTTATGGTGAATGAAACTAATTTACTGCATTCTGCCGGGCGGTGACACGGGCGGCGGACAGGCTCACGCATTCTGCCCTTCGCAGCTCTTTTGTCCAGCCCGTGAACAAGGCGTGGAACACAGAACAGTTTAGGTGCTGCGCAGACCTTGTAACAGCTCAAAGAAGGGAGTCTCGCAATTCCAAATATTCGAAATGGCTGCGGTAAGTCAAACAGAACTTGTTATCTTTGCACTACTATGGTACTGATCTTGAAGAAATAGCAAATTTCGACTGTCGCGGAGACCAAGGAACTCCGGGGCTTGAACCTCATCGCTGCTCATTCGCATATTAGAGGACTTGGTGTCGATGCCGATTCTTTACAACCTAGGACCTCATCCCAGGGCCTTGTGGGTCAGGAGAAGGCGCGAAAGGCCGCTGCCGTAATCTTGCAGATGGTCAAAGAAGGCAAGATCGCTGGCCGCGCAGTGTTAATTGCAGGGCCTCCCAGCACAGGTAAAACAGCACTTGCTATGGGAATGGCACAGTCTCTCGGGAGCGATGTCCCCTTTACAATGCTCGCTTCTTCAGAGATCTTCTCAATGGAAATGTCGAAAACCGAAGCACTTACTCAAGCTTTCCGAAAGTCCATTGGCGTTCGGATCAAGGAAGAAAGTGAGATCATCGAAGGTGAAGTGGTGGAGATTCAGATTGACAGGAGCGTCACTGGTGTAAGTGTCACTATAAATCCTTGCAGGCGAGAAAACGTGTCCGTGCTAATACGCTCAGGGTAATAAACAAGGGAAACTCACCATCAAAACCACCGACATGGAGACAATCTACGACATGGGTACTAAGATGATCGACTCCATGACTAAAGAGCGTGTGATGGCCGGCGATATAATCTCTATCGACAAGTCATCGGGTAAAATTACGAAGTTGGGTCGTTCATACGCACGTTCACGGGATTATGATGCGATGGGTGCTGATACGAAGTTCGTGCAATGCCCTGAGGGCGAACTCCAAGTGCGTAAGGAAATTGTGCATACCGTGAGCCTTCATGAGATTGATGTCATCAACTCGCGGTCACAAGGGTTTCTGGCTCTCTTTTCTGGTGATACCGGAGAAATCAGGAGCGAGGTTCGGGATCAGATCAACACCAAGGTCGCCGAATGGAAGGAAGAGGGCAAGGCGGAAATAATCCCTGGTGTTCTCTTCATTGACGAGGTTCATATGCTGGATATCGAATGCTTTTCCTTCGTTAACCGCGCTTTGGAAGCTGAACTTGCGCCAATTGTCATCATGGCCAGTAATCGCGGCCAAGCCCGCATTCGGGGGACAACCTACAGTTCTCCCCACGGACTGCCTCTCGATTTTCTTGACCGCGTGGTCATCGTGAGCACACAACCCTACTCGGCTGATGAGATCAGGCAGATTCTGGCCATCAGAGCTCAAGAGGAAGAGATTGATCTCTCTCCGGACGCTTTAGCACTTCTGACCAAGATTGGCCAAGAATCAAACCTCCGATATGCCAGCAATATCATCACTACTTCTCACCTCCTAAGCCAAAAGCGAAAGGCAAAAGAAGTCAGTATTGACGATGTTCAGCGCAGCTACCGACTATTCTATGACCCTGCTCGGAGCGTCAAGTTTGTGAATGCGTATGAGCAGCGTTTCATTAGTGACCAAGGCAATGTAACATTCTCGGCTGCAGCAAATGGAGGAGACGCCATGGAGATCTCATAGATTCATTCCGATATAGACATTCTGGGTGATTTCTGGTGTTCGAATGGCGGAGCATTCCAGGTGACGTGCGAAAAGGAACAAATAGTGCGACGTGATCTGTTTCCCTTCCTATTATTATTCCCTGTGTTTTCTTTGCAGTATCAAATTATGTATGATAATGCTGGCGCTTGTTCAGAGCTCTGTATGGGTACTTTTGCAATTTGGGTTCGAATCGGAATTTATCGAAAAGGAGCCTAAGCTCGAATGATAATTATGATGTTCATATTCAATGCTTGGTATCCATTAGTGCTATACCTACGACTCCCACCCATCCTTAGTTTTCATTATTGTACAAAGCTGGCCTGAGCATTCCATCCACCGTCGTCTGTTGTTCTTCGAAATTCGACCCCTTCACCGAAATACCCAGCATTTTTCCACGACTCCATCGTCGCACCGTCGTACGGTCCGTGAACAATCCCACCATCGCGGGCGTCCGACCAACGAAATTCCCACATTACAGGGGCCTGCTCGCCACTTACAGGGTCTGTATCTTGTGAAGGGGGATCAACCCAATCCTCGCCTGTCTCACGGCGATACTGACGAGTGAGTAGCTCGCGTTCTGTATCGTAGATTTCCGCTTGGCCCCGGGTCATAAGGATATCTGCTGCCCCCGTGATCGCATCGATCGCTTGCTTGCGAGCGACTTCTTTGGGGTCATCCTCCGTCATCTCCGCATCCTCTGTATCCCCATTCTGCTTCGACCTGTTCTTGTTGCGTTTATTTTGCCATTTGGGCTTTTTCTGGGGCCCCTTTCCTAGCCTAGCCAACGCTTCCAGTATAGTTTCTCCTCGGTCAAGGTGAGTTATAAGGGTCTTTAAGGCGTCTCCCGTTAATACACTATCGTCCATCCGATCTTTTTCCTTCCTATCGGCTTCTCTTTTTTCCGCGGCTTCTTTGGCACGCCGAATATCTTTCTTTGACACCCCATCAAGCCACGAATCGTAGATAGCATCAGGGTCTACAGCCTTCCGTACATAGTTTCCTTGATCGTCAAACTTGCCCTCCTCCTGCTCAGTCCGCATGTTGAACGCATCAAGTAAAGGCGCATGTTTTTTCTTAGACCCGGCGCCCAATTCCTCGTCCATATCCTCATCAACCCTTGCGCGGTCTTCATCTGCGACATCGCTCTCGCTTTCCGCTTCATCATCGTCGACCTCATCGGGGCCTTTAGTCAAGTCCGCATGTAACGTGCCACCACCTTTGGAAGACGCGACCTGACCTTCGATCTCGTCGTCTCGAAGAAATCGCACAGACTTCTTGTTCTTCTTTAAAGCTTCATCAGCGTCGACCTCTTCCGCGCCGAAGTCCTCTTGTAGCTCAGCAAACATGTCATCGTCATCTGCCGCATTTTCCTTTTTTTTTTTCTTCGCCTGGGCCTCGGCTCGCGCATCAAACCCTTCATTTTCGCTATCCGAGTCGTAGCCGTCAAGATTCACTGCTTTGCGACGTACTTTCTGCCCGCGCCGACCGATCTCGTCCGCGTCTAATACTGCATCGTCTTCGAGCGCATCGGGAGCAAGAGCAGAAGGGTTCCGGAGATCAAACCTAGCTTTCTTGCCAGAAGGTTCATTCGGGTCGTCCTCGGGGTGTTGATGTGTGCGGGTGAAGTCTTCACCAGCCCGCTTGGGGCGTGGCTGAAAGCCGGACATAGATTGTAAAACTGGGTGTAAGTCACCGTAGAGCAAAGCACAAAAATGTGAATGAAGCGATCGCACTAGCCTAAGAGTTCTCACAGAACTCGATAGTACTTGGGACACTGGAGACGAGCTTTTATGGGAGGAGACTGTTGCTGAAGCTGTACAAATGAGGTCGGGTCGGAAAATCATTGCGGAGCCATTTGCGTCACTGCGGGAGGGCGATAAGACATCTTCATCAACTTAACTACTAGCGACCTTCTTGGCCGTGCAATCTGAACATCCTGGTCTCTCCGATCAACCAGTACGAAAGCCCATCTATCTGTCTCTAGACAGAAAAAGAAAACTTAGACCCTGCGTCCCGATTAGGGCATTGTTCAACCGGTGCTTTAGTGTCAGCTACTGCGGGCTTCCCACTATGGTGAGCTTCAGAGAAGTCCCGCGCTTGTTAACTTCTATATGTACTGATCTTTGCAGTTCCGCTCTAATTACTACGAGGATGATCCTATGGACGGCGTCTTCAGCTCCTCCATGCTCCGCCATGGAGGCGCAACCCGCCGTTTTGACGAGTACTACCGCTGTTACCCCGTCGCCATGATGCCTGGCCCAGAGAGAGAGAACGTCAACCACGGCGGTAAAGTCATCATGCCACCCAGTGCTTTGGACAAGTTGACTCGGCTACATATCACATACCCTATGCTCTTTGAGCTGCATAATGGTGCACGAGAAAGGTTGACCCATGCGGGTGTATTGGAATTCATCGCTGAGGAGGGGAAAATCTATTTGCCATTTTGGGTAAGATTGTCCACTGGCAGTTAATTTCCTCTGGTCTACTAGCGCGCTATATCGTATTAAACGCCACCATACTGATGTAAAGTGTCATGTATAGCTCATGCAAACCCTCCTCCTCGAACCGGGTGACCTAGTACAGGTCAAATCGACCGATCTTCCTCCGGGCCAGTTCATCAAACTTCAAGCCCAATCAACATCGTTTCTAGATATAAGTGATCCTAAGGCTGTGCTTGAGAATGCATTCCGCAACTTTTCATGTCTGACAAAGGGCGATGTCTTCACATTTGCCTACAATGATCAAGTTTATGAGATGGCGGTTTTGGAAACCAAGCCAGCCACCAATTCAAATGCCATTTCCGTCCTCGAAACAGATCTGGAAGTCGATTTTGCCCCTCCTGTAGGATATGAGGAGCCCAAACGTCCAAGCGGTACCAGTACTCCCCGCAGTGGCGTGAGCGCAACCAAGCTTCCGTCTGGCGGGTTGCTTCACCCCCATGGAACCATGGCTCAATCAATTAACTATGCCGCCATTGCACCTGAATCTACCGATGCCGCGGCGGGAGCAAAAGCTGTGTCGTCAAACTTCCTTATCGGTGGACAGCGTTTGAATGCGAAGAAGGGAAGTAAGGCTCCAACTCCAAAGGCCTCGACTCCAACACCCGGAGCCACAAATCCTCAACACCCTCCACCTGTCAGGCGGACCAACGGGCCAATGCCGCTACGGCTCCCGCCTAATCAGCTATTCTTTGGATATGCAATCAAGCCCGTGAAGAAGCGTGACGAAAGCGGCCAGGTTGTCGAGGGCGAGAAGCCCCGCTTTCAGGGAAGTGGTCAAACGTTAAGAGGGAAAAAGAAGGACACCGGAGGCTCTGCAACGCCCACTTAGTGCAGCGCTTGAGGAGGCTCAAAGTCCAGGGGAAAAGTGACGTTGGTGAATAGTGCCGTCAGGAGATCATGTGCTAAGAGAAACCTTAAAATACTGGCGCACTACCTGTTTCATTTCTTTCGATGTTTCTATTCCTTTGTCTCAGAATACTTATGAGCAAAACAAGGACGGCTTGGTTATAGAGCATAGCGTGGTATGGGCTGGCGTTAAATAAGGAAATCACTTTTATCTCAACAACGGTAGGGTTGAGTGAGATATTTGACCCAAGTCTGTAAAGCACGCTGTGGATACGAAGTAGTAGAACCTGGAAAGACCCCTTAAAATGAGAAGGGCGGCTCCACCCTAGGAACCACAAGAGATCACAATAAAATGCCGAGGACCGTGATTTAGTGCTCCTCTAGTGTCTGATCTATCGACTCCTTATCGACTCTCCCCCCGTTTTAATATAGATAGGAAGTTTAATACTCCTTTAAATTCTCTTCGCCAGTTCTTCCCCTTATTCACGCCATTCAGTAGACATAGGACATCCCCAAAGTCAAGATCACAACCTCAAAAAAAAACCAAAGCACGACCAAGATGTCGCAACTCAATACCCGAGAAAACCCCTTATCCGCATACACCAAACTATCCCCCTCAATCTATATTCAAGAACCCCAGTCGCAATCTGAAAACAATGGCGTCCCCAAGACCATCATCCTAGCATTCTGGATGAACGCTCCTTCACGAGCCTTGACCAAATATGTCACCGAATACACCCGCCTAGCACCCACAGCCCGAATCATCATCATCCTAAGCTCCTCCAAGGACTTCATGACGCGATCCAGCAAAAAGGCGCAACAAGCGCGCCTCGCCCCAGCCGTCGAGGCTCTCCGGGCTTCTTTCTCCTCGTCTTCTTCGTCCGAAGAGAAAGCCAAAGACCAAGAACAAGTCTTCATACACATGTTCTCCAACGGCGGCGTCTTCTCCACAATCAATCTCCTGGCCACTTACCAAAGGACAGTGGGCCGACCACTCCGCATCTCATCCACCATCTTGGACAGTGCACCAGGCGTAGCGACGGTATCTGGCGCCATGAAGGCATTCTCTTTCGCACTTCCGGGTCCGTGGCTTTTGCGCTTGTTCAGTAAGATTGCGCTATGGATGTTTTTTGTGCTGGGGGCGCTTGTGCGCCGCCTTGTTGGGTTGCCAGATACTGTTAGTGTTGCGCGGAAGGCGATGAATGATCAAAGGCTGGTTTGTAGTGGAGATGGTGCGAAGCCGAGACGATGCTATATCTATTCGGATGCGGATGAGCTGGTGGACTGGCGGGATGTCGAGAGACATGCTGACGATGCGGAAGCGAGGGGTTGGGTAGTTACGAGAGAGAAGTTTCTAGGGTCGCCGCATGTTTCGCATATGAGAACTGATCCAAAGAGGTATTGGGAGATTGTGAAGAGGTATTTGTTGGTGGGATCGGTGTGAGTAGTAGATTGTTGGGTTTTGCTAAAGGTTTGGATATGTGTGTATAAATATAATACTATTAGAGGGCATCGGTTATACTGCTGGGAGCGTGACATACTTGTAATTTATATCACATATTCTTATGGGGATACCCAGAGGACCACCATCATCCTTACTTTATAATAAGTTGCTTATGCTGAGAGTTACATGGATATTATACCCACAGACTACGACAAAGCCTTCCAATATTGTGGAACTTTGTATTACTATATGTTTGGGCTTCCGCCAGCATTGTACAGAATAATCAAACCATTGGTCGATCTCGCGAAAAAGACTTCTTTAAGCGCAAGAAACGAAAACCTGAAAAGGGACTTGCTTCCCCGGCAAAGATAAAACCCCATGAACCCCTTGAGCAGCCCTTTCCCTGCCGGCTTCGACCCGGGCTGGTACTTAGGGTATTCGGCCCTCGAGCTAGTTGGCCTCATATCACTAGGTGCCTTTGGTCCCTAGTTCAAAATCTATCTGTTACATGCTAGGCACGCATATGTATAGTCTATATTAGGTCTTGTTTTATTTGAAAGAAAAATAATAATATCGACTATTAGACAGATCCCTGATAGGGTTATATACTAACTACCGTAGATGAATTTATCCAAATTCGTCTTCTCACAAGACCTCTACGTATGATGATCTCAGATTTTGAGTGAAACCTATAGTAATAGGAATATCTTGTAGTACTAGGGCCGTGGTGGAGGTGCTGCTTTGAGAACCTTTATTGTTGCTGTTGGGTAACACCATCAAAAACGAACATACAAGCCCTCGTCATGGAGGCGGGAAGATTACAGACGGCCACTAGGGTCAAGGTGTCCAAGGCTATTCCTTGGCTAGCAGAAGAATCGAAGTGGGCTAAAAGAAAATTATGTTGAACCAACGTATGATTTCTATACAAATCTCAAGTTTTCATCAAGAAGTCAACCAAAATCACCGTGCGCTATGCATGCAAACGTTATGTACAATCCAGCCACATTAACGCCTCTTTTTGACTTTTGAAAACCCTCGCATATAGATCTTTTTTACTTTTGTAATCCTAACTTACATTCCCCTTGTTTCCGGGAACTCATCCTCAAGCTTCAACCTTGCCGTAACATTCATACTCATCAGCTCCTGAATAAGAAGCTTAGCTGCGTACGGGATGGCCATCTTGACCACACTCCGCGAGGATTTACAGCGCTGACACCAGTTCAAGTAGCCCATGAAGCCGCACTGCTCGCAGACATCGATCTCATGACGATCTGACGAGATCATCAGTCGTTCGAGGAGAAGCTGACTGGTTCCATAGGCAATCAAACAGTCACGTTCCATCTCACCTAGACGGAGACCACCGTCGCGGGAACGACCTTCCGTTGGCTGACGGGTGAGAATGGCTCGAGGACCACGAGCACGAGAATGCATCTTGTCTTGAACCATGTGCTTGAGCTTCTGGTAGTAGATGGGACCGGTGAAGACGTAAAATGGTAGCGCCTCGCCGGTAATTCCCGAGGTGAGGTAGTCTTTACCACCGTAGCTGAATCCCTTGTCGATAAGAATCTGGGACATTTCCTCGACAGGACTGCCGCCGAAACAAGTTCCGTACCCGTGCTGGCCCGCCAGGACGCCAGCTTTTCCGGCGACGAGTTCCAACATTTTCCCGACAGTCATACGAGAGGGGAAACCGTGGGGGTTCATGATAATGTCAGGATTGATTCCTTGATCTGTGAAAGGCATGTCGGCCTGGTCTGCAATGATACCCACGACACCCTTTTGTCCGTGACGAGAAGAGAACTTGTCACCCACTTCGGGTCGACGGGTCTGCCGGGTGAGCACCTTGATGAGTTGGTTTTCGTTCTCTGTCGTGGAGACAAGAACCTGGTCAATATATGCAGGGTCGTGCAGCTTATATGTCATAGGTGTAGGCGTGTATTTGACTGGCCGACCCATATCAGAGCCAGGAAACCCGGAGGCGAGAGATTGATCAGGAGTAGATTTGTTGATGT